CAACACTAACAATGGATAGTTTATGTTGATATATACATGTAACTAATGATCCCTTTAAAACAATACTAAAAACAAATTGTTTAGTTCCACGTGTTCATGGGATTTAGCCTCATTTACATTCAACTTGTGGGGGTTTATGGATGTAGAATGGCTTTAGAGTTAGGTTCATTGTTTTGCAACTTCTGAGAAATCCCTTTCTAAAGTTAAACAGTTGACTAATATTGCTCTCCTTGCACTTGTATAAATGGGGAACTCCGCCTCTCTTTTTTTAACGATTGCAGGCACTCTTTAGACCTTCTTTGCCTCTCTTCTTCTGTTATATGGTCATCAATTAGCTGCATTGTTCAATATACAAGCCCTTTTAAGTTAGTATATTTACTGAGTCTTTGGTTTCAAATGCATTTTCTTTTCTGGTTTTCGTACGACAACTTGTTCAAATCATGTTCATGTAGGTCATATAATGAGTAAGCGTGTCCCCGACGAGCCTGGCAACATGGAGATGGATGTTATTAGTGTTTCTTCATCACGTCGTGGCTCGGAGAATTCGACATATGTTCACAAGGTGGGAAAGCCTCCTAAGAAGACCCTGCTGACAGAAATTGGATGCATTGTGAAGGAAACTTTCTTCTCCAACGATCCTTTAAGCAATTTCAAGGATCAACCGAGGTCTAGAAAGTTTGTGCTAGGCTTACAGGCAATGTTTCCTATTCTTGAATGGGGAAGGCAGTATAGCCTTTCTAAATTCAAAGATGACTTCATTGCGGGACTTACTATTGCAAGTCTTTGCATTCCGCAGGTAAAAACAATGTTTTCGATAATGTAATTGAAGTTTCTGTTTTTTTGCCTTTTGTTTCTGGTATCTTTTAATTTACACCAGGACATTGGATATGCAAAGCTCGCCTATCTGCCTCCCCAATATGGTTTATGTAAGCATCTTTCTACATGATAAGGTTCGTTTTAATGGTGGAAGCGTGGGGGAATTGTACTGATTTTCCTATTGCATTGCAGATAGTAGCTTCGTTCCTCCTCTTATTTACGCAGTCATGGGAAGCTCACGGGATATCGCCATTGAACCGGTGGCTGTGGTGTCTCTCTTGCTTGGTACTCTCCTGCAGAACGAGATTTACCGGCGCCTAGCATTCACAGCTACATTCTTTGTTGGTGTCACTCAAGCCACACTTGGAGTTTTCAGGTAGTAATTAAAGCCTGTGTCTTATGAGGAAACTCCGGTCATATATCATATGTGCTAAATGGTTGGTGTGATTGATTTAAGGCTGGGGTTCTTGATAGACTTCCTATCTCACGCTGCCATTGTTGGCTTCATGGCTGGTGCTGCTGTTACCATTTCCCTTCAACAACTTAAAGGCCTGCTCGGAATAAAAAAAATTTACGAAGAAAACTGATATCGTCTCCGTCATGCGCTCGGTTTTCCATGCAGGTGGAATTGGCAAACTATACTAATAGGACTGTCCTTCCTTGCCTTCATTTTGGTTGCCAAATACATTGTAAGATCATTATCCTTCCTTTCATCCTTTATGTACAAAGTCTGTTAATGTGATCTAATGATGCTGCATAAAACTAAGCAGGGAAAAAAGAAGTATTTTGGGTGCCAGCAATTGCACCAATGATCTCTATCGTCCTCTCCACCTTTTTCGTGTACATCACACGAGCCGACAAGCACGGTGTTCAGATTGTATTTACAACCCTTTCTTCTGTTTGATTATCTCCAAGCTTTGAACAAAGGAAAAGTAACGAAGATTCATTTTTCACAATGTTTTCTTCAGGTAAAACATATCAGGAGAGGTATCAACCCAATATCTGTGGATGAAATATTTTTCTCTGAAGAATATCTTGCCAAAGGTTTCAGGATCGGTGTTCTATCCGGTATGATAGCGCTAACGGTATCCGAATCCGACCCCTTATTCCTTTGATTTGTCTCAAGGAGATGAGGTTCTAATCACTATGTCTTTTATAATCTAGTAAGCTGTAGCAATTGGAAGAATTAGCTCCCATGAAGGACTACCAGTTGGATGGAAACAAAGAAATGGTAGCATTAGGGACGATGAATATCTTCGGTTCGATGACATCTTGTTACGTGGCCACAGGTGCGAAAATAGAAAGGCGGCCCATCCCTACCTCTTCTCTGTTTATAAAATGATTCCGATATTCATCATCTAAAATACTCTGTGCAGGAGGCTTCCATAGTACGGCAGTAAACTACAAGGCCGGGTGCCATACGGCAGTATCTAATATAGTGATGTCTGGTGTTGTGCTACTAACATTGGAACTCATAACTCCATTATTCAAGTACACTGCAAATGCTATACTAGCTTCCATCGTTATATCTGCAGTGATTAACTTAATTGACATTGAAGCAATGACTCTGATATGGAAGATCGATAAATTTGACTTCGTTGCTTGTATGGGAGCCTTCTTTAGTGTAGTTTTCTCTTCGGTTGAGTTAGGCCTACTAATTGCGGTGAGGAATTCATGGAGATTGTTGCCACATATCCCAAGTGACAATCAATTTACCACATCAACCTAAATGATCCATTTCTTGTTGTAACAGGTTTCGATATCGTTCGCCAAAATCCTCTTACAAGTTACGAGACCTCGAACATCGGTTCTCGGAAAGCTTCCAAGGACGACGGTTTATAGGAACATCCACATATACCCTGATGCAGCAAAAGTTCCAGGCATCCTCATTGTTAGAGTTGATTCTGCAATTTACTTTTCCAACTCCAACTATATAAAAGAAAGGTTAGCTTTTCCACGTACATGAAGTACTAAAAGGAAGTGGACTCTGTCCAAATATACACATTCCTAAAGTTCAAGTTTCATGCAGGATTTTGAGATGGCTGATGGATGAAGAAGAGAGATTGAAAGAAAACTCCCAACCCAGAATTCAGTATCTGGTCGTCGAAATGTCACGTAAGCAATATTCGATTTTCGTTTCCGGTTCATCGATCGAGCTCATGACCGAAATAACTGTTTCTAATGAACTTTACATTGTTTGATCAGCTGTCACTGACATTAACACTAGTGGCATCCATGCCATGGAAGAGCTATTGAGAAGCCTTGAGAAGAGGGATGTTAAGGTAACCTAGTGTAAAAGAACCTCAAACGTTGAACTTGAATGAGAGTTGGGTTTATTATTTATGCAAAATACATTGTTTTGCAGCTTGTTTTAGCAAGTCCAGGGCCGGTTGTGGTGGACAAGCTCCATGTCTCGAAGTTTCATGAGATGATAGGGGAAGATAAGATCTTTCTCACTGTGGAAGACGCAGTAAAAACATGTGCTCCCAAAATGGATTTAGAACCATAAGTTGTTGTCAAACTAATTCTGGAGATTCAAGGCATGGTTCGATGCCGAAGAAGGTGGTCGTGAGGTAGCTTTGAATGTGAATAGTGAATAAAGATATAAATGGAGGGTGATTCAACAAAGTTCAAGTAAAAGTGTAAAGTGAAGTTAATCTACTAGATGACATTTTGAAATTTTCTTATATGTCCTCTATGTCAAACTAATTCTGGAGATTCAAGGCATGGTTCGATGCCGAAGAAGGTGGTCGTGAGGTAGCTTTGAATGTGAATAGTGAATAAAGATATAAATGGAGGGTGATTCAACAAAGTTCAAGTAAAAGTGTAAAGTGAAGTTAATCTACTAGATGACATTTTGAAATTTTCTTATATGTCCTCTATGTTTTCCTCTTAATTGAAGTCAAAGCCTATTTCTTTTCAAGACTTCTTTACCTTTAGATATCAAGATATACTTAATTTTACAAATATGTTAAATTAAAATATTAAATAAATAAAATCGAACACATCAAATCAAATTACTTTAGTAGTTAAAAAGATTATTATTCTTTCTAGAAATCCCAAGTTCAAGCAGCTACGCCTGCAAGTCTTCCTCTTTCCCTTTGATTTTGGTTTAACCGACAACGACACTAATCTTAATGTTTGTTGTCGACCACAGGTTGATTAATAATTCTCTTGTTTTTTTTCATACTGTCATTTATTTTCTTTTTTCTTGAGGCTTTTTTTAATTTTTAAATAAGAATTTTGATCATTGTGACATGTTTTTCTATGTTCTTGTAACACGCGTTTTCATTTCTCGTGACACGATCCTCATGACTTTTGGTACGTTCTTCGCATACATTTGCAGTCGTTTTGGTGTTCGCATAAAAACTATCACGACATTTATTTTTTTATTAGATTGTCAATGGTCACGTATAATCATATCTTCTCTTTAGTAAAATGTTATTTGCTGATATAATTAAAATTGGGTAGTTAAGCAACCTATCAGATAGCTTGGTTTGCTCACTACTCCCATATCACTTCGTAAAGTGTCTCATTCGACAGAGACAACGTTTTTTTTATGAAAGTTACTAGGTTCTTTTGATGTTGGTCATCATTCTCAATATAATATATATATATAGTATCTTTAGGTTTACTATTTTTGGTTTTATATGAATATTTTGATGACTATTGTCACCTTTCATGACTTTTATAAATGAAATTCAATTATCATGATTCAAAAAAGTTATAATATGATAATTGATATTATTATTATTATTATTAGGATTATATCACATATAATTAGCTAAATATATTACTTTTTATTTAAATATCTAATGTATTTTTCTGATCAAAGTATTCAAAATTAACATCTAAATGCACAAATTAAGTGATATCGATAATTAGAAGAATTAACATATTTTTCATTTGAATTCTTAAAAATTGACTTGTACTATTAATTTAAAAATATTAACGGTACCTGAATAAGCGAAATTCCCTAATTTAGTACCTATTTATATTGAAGTACCTAGATAAAAATAATAATATACTTAAAGTATAGATAAATCGTAAGAAAACAGAGATAAAAATGGGTAAATTATTATCTGTTGTATAAAGTTCAAAGATAGTTTCTATTAACCCACCAAAGGGAGACCTACATAATCACCAGAGCTAAACATCAACCTAGTCTCTCACTCACCCAGAAATTAAACTAACATAACCATGAGGAGCCCTACAACAAGAGAACCCATTGGAACAGAGAGCACCGGTGAGCCTGCTTTACTAGGAGCCGGTATCGGCGCTGCCTCGCTCGCTCCCCCTGGTCCGGTTGTTGGTGCACCTGCTGTCGGTGATAGTTGCACACCTACAAATTTAGCCGCCAACTTTTAAAAATAAGTTTAGTTGTCATCTTAGGTTGATATTTGTGATTTAGTTTTCGGTTTGCAATTTTGAATATGAAATAATTTGATCCGTCGACATCGAAAATGTTAAAGTTATTTTGAGAAAACTATCATAAATTTTTTTAATGATAAACAACCCTTCAATTTCAACCCTGTAAATTGGGTGCATGGATTATTTTTGAATTGAATCATTTAAGTTTTTAGATTTATGGGAACATACCTGGCGCAGCAGCAGGTACAATAGATACTGCCAAAAAACAAAGATGAAAACGATTATTTTTTAATTTTTTTCCAGAATAAAAAAGGAAAATAACCAAATTTTCCATCAAAATATGGGTTTAGAAAAAAAGGGAAGAAAGTGAATCGTCACTCACATGCGCATTTAGGGGCGGAAGAAACGGTGATACTGCAAACAGCGGGCAAGGTGGAAGCCCTAGTGAGATTCAGAGAAACACCGAGCGAAGCACTGCTCTTAAACGCCTCGCACAAGCAATCGGCGTCGGTTTCAATCACAGTCTTCAAGCCAGTACAGCACGTCCCTTCCGGTTTCGACACGTGACTCCCGCTCGAAACAAAGGACAAGCAATCCGCCATGTTGAGGATCAAAGACGAACAGTCCCCGGAGGAGGAAGAGGGCGACGGTGCCGCCGCCGCCGAATGATGGTTGTGGGCGGCGTCAACGGCCCAAACGGAGAGAATGGAAAGGGTGAGCGTGAGAGAGTATTTGGATAGTACCATTGCTCGGAGAGGAGAAAACAGGGGTTTCAGTGTTTGGTGGAAGGGGATGAAACAGTGAGGTTCTTGGTGGAAGTCAAAAGAAAAAACAAAGGGAAATGGGGAAATTTCGTTAGTAAATGAGAGAATTAAGTGGGGATTCGACGAGTGAATGAAAAACCGAGAGGGTTGCCCTACTCAAATATATAACATTAATTTGGACTTTTTACAAAAATGACACTATTTTTTTTATAGTAAACGATGAATGCAACATATTATACGTTCGAATGGCGGTCAACCATTTATTAATAAATGTTTAAATATCTTTGTAGACGTCGATACTTGAATTTAAAATCTCTAAAGATAATAACTCCATCTTTAATCACTAAAGTCGTTTGATTCATGTCATTCTAAAAAAAAAGAGTAAATTCTCAAATTAATATTAATTTTGAATTACTTTTTTAAATTTATAAATATTTAAATTTATTATTAAATTAATATCCATTCTAAATTAATCTCCATTTTAAGGTGATATTTAATAAAAATAAATGTTTTAAAAATATAAACATAGAGATTTTAATTTATTAAAATTTTTATTTAAAATTAATTATTATTTTTTAATAATATTATATCTAATGTTTATACCATTTTTTTAAACATATGATATATTATAGTTACACCAATACTTATCGATATATTGTTAATTGAATTGTAAAATAATTTAAATTTTGAGGTATTAGATTCAAGTCTATTGTTTTTGTTTTATTTGATCAAGATTTATTATAATATTTTAAATTATTAATTTATGCTTAATTTTAATATAATTTAAGTTCAATCGCCAAAAGGCTCCTATAAATTGACAATATTAAAATTTTGGTGGGTTTAAGTTTGAATCCCATTTTATGTAAATTATGTGGAATTATGTTTAAATTTATATATAAATTCTAACTAATATTTTATTTAAATGGTATATAATTTATATTGTACGATGATTATTTTTTTGACAAATTTTAGATTTAATCTTAATCTTATCTAAAAGATTTTTTAAAAAAAAAATGTATAATTATAAATCATATGCCCTCCTAAAAGATAATTAATTATATATTATAATGTGAAAAATATATGGTCAATTATTATAAATTTTCAATTTGAGAATTATAACGGAATCCCCTTCCACGTTTGGCAAGGAAATCTGCTCATTTATTTCAGTTACAAAATATGACAAAGACCAGTCAGATTTTTCATATATTTGTATCCGATTTGATTTATGCTTCATTTTATTTCCATAATTTTATCTGAATCTTTAAAGCTTAAGAAAGTAAAAATAAGTGTTTAAATTACGTATTCTTTTTTGTTTTTATTTTAAATACTTAAATTATTTTTTGTCAAATTTGTATATTTAATTAAGTCATATCATTTTTCAGTTAGAAAAATGATTTTTAACCTATAAGATGTTGACACGTCATATAAAATTAGGTCCTTATTTTAATTAAAAATATAGTTTAGGGGCTTAAAGAAAAAAAATAGTCATAATTTAATGATTTATTTTGACCGAAAAATAGTTTATATACTTAAAGTAATTTTAATTTAAGGATTTAATTTGACAAAAAAATAGTTTAGAAACGTAAGGTGAAAAGATAACATAGTTTTTTTTTAGCGCTATTTTAGTTTGAGCCTAAGTTTAATTAGTTATACACCGAGTTAAGTTCATGTTAAATTTAAATTTGAATCAATTTATATTAAAAATAGGGACGAGTTTGTCACGTTCGACGGATATCATTGAGCACCTCTAACGATGAGCACCGCTTAACACTATTAATTTAATTTATAAAAATTTAAAATTCTAAAGGACTCAACATATAATTATAAATTAGTTAAAAATTTAAAAGTAATTTATTTAAAATAAAATATTAATTACATTATTTTCCATAATCTTTTTTAAACAATAAAAATTTTATAATTTACCTTTAAAAATTTGTTAAAAAAATTATGGGAAATAATGTAATTAATATTTTATTTTAAATAATCTTTAAAATTTTAACTAATTTATAATTATATGTTGAGTCCTTTATAAATAAAGTTTTTATAAATTAAATTAATGGTACTCAACGATGCTCATCATTAGTGGTATCATTGGTACTCGAGTATTGGAATTTCCTTAAAAAATAAACTGATTCGAACAATTAATTTTAAGAAACAAATTGTATCAAATCAAATTTGAACATTAAATCATCCTATTCCTTCCCCGAATGGATAAAGGAAATATATAGGGTAAACTACATTCTTAGTTTCTTAATTATCATTTTTGTTTTGTTTTGGTCACCTAATTATTTATTTTGTTTTAAAATCATACATAATGTTATTTTTAGTTTCATTTTCGTCACATATCATTAAAACATTAACGATGATGCTGATGTGTCACCATAAAATAATATTATATATAATTAATTTTTTAAAAAATAAACATAATAATGACAATATTAAATAATAACTTCAAGTATATAGAAAATAAATGCAACATTCAACATTTTAGGTTATGCAAAACTTAAAATGTTATATTTTTTATCACATTTTTTATTGTGCCAAATTTTGCCCCCTTTTTAGCTTTAAATTAGGTTTTTGTTGTTGTTCTTCTTCTTTGATACTAAAAAGTTTTGGTAAGGGGTGACTCTCTTAGTTCAAGGTCAGGGCATGCCTAAGACTCAATTGGGATTTACATAGAAATTTATATATTGCCCACCAAGAGTGAAGGTGGTAGGATTCGAACTTGATCTTACAAGCTCAAATTCTTGAATCCCAACTACTTTTGCCAACACTCGTTGACCTTAAATTAGATTGTTGTTCCTTACACTTTCTCGTTATATTATCGTCCTCAATTAAACATTTATGATATAAAATCGTGTATTAACGATATAAACATGAAGATAGATATTATTTGTGTTTCTTGATCATGTCGTGGCTTCGAGAATTCAATGTATGTTCAGAGGGTGGGAAAGGCGACAAGCATGGTGTTCAGGTTGTATGTTGTAGACACTAATTTTCCAGCCGCAATAGTCCTTCGCAAAAGACGCGTCGTTCCTCACGCCAACGACCCCAAGCTTTCTGATCGGATTTCTCGACAACAATAAAACAAACAACCCCAAATCAATTTTAGTTCCATTAAGACTCCAGCTCAAACTAAAAATAGCTTTTTTTACTATATAAGCATGTAATCGATACATTGGAAGGGGATGAGGGAGATACCTGTAAACACAGAGAAAAACATGAAAAAAATACGAGGAAATAAGGCAAAAAAATATATGCAGAAAATACAGGGGTGGATACTAGATTCATCTGACGAAATACGAGAGGAAAAACATAGGGTGGGCAAATTTGAGTCGCAAAGTAGTAGAATACCAAAAACCCAAAAAAAATTGAGGAAAAAGAACGGGCGAAAGAACGAGAGCCTACCTTTTTTCATTGGTCATCGGGAACTCGAGGTTCGCCGGAGGTTCAAATTACCCAAGGGCGCTGGTGCTCGGTCCCCAATTGCATTGATTGTTCGAGAGTATTCGGTGGGTTACAGAGAGCTTATTTCTCTCTTTTTAATTTTGGGTTTAAGTTTTGCGTGAATTAGACTCAAATGTTTTGATATGTTTCCATTTCTTTTGTATTGGGAGAATTACTTGCTTGGTCACTTGGCATTTGATGAGCTATATTAACTTTATTTTTCCTTTAAATTTTGGCACTATATTATGCATACAATTCATTTTGGTCCTAGAACTTTAATTTTAAATTGAATCCTTAGATTTAGATTTCAATTATTTTAGTCCTAATTTAGATTATTTTATTTAGTATCTTTTTATTTATTATTATAATAATTATTTTTTAAAAAAACCTCTTTTTTCATTTTTTTTATTTCCCTTTTAACATTTCTTTTATATATATATATTATTTATTTTCTATATTTCTTTATTTTTGGTTTTTTTATTTCTTACTATTATATTATACTATTTATTATTATTATTTTTGTCTTTATTATTATTATTATTATATTTTATTATTATTATTATATATTCTATACATTTTTTTCTTAACATTTTATTCATATGCATATTTATTTCGTTTACTTTTTTATCTTTTTATTTCCTTTTTCTTTATTTCATTTATTTTTTTTACTTTCTTTATTTTATTTATTTTCATTTTTTTATCTAACACGTTTCTTGGTTTCTTAAGGGTACACTTTTAAATCTATCAGAGGTAAGTAATTTGAGTCGAGTTTGTAAATTTTAATTTTTTTTTAATTTTCGCAATTAAAGACAACCGACAAATTAATTGGTACCGAAAGGGCGGTTCAAGGGTGATAATCATTCTTTGACCGTAACCGACTCCCGAACCCGACACGTTTTTGGTAAAACGTAGATCATGTAAGATGGTGTCCGGCCCACCTAAATCCGTTTTAAAATGGTCGGTGGCGACTCCAATTCGTTTAATCCAAGTCGAGCCCAATTTCGGGACCCACCTGAAAGACGGTCGCAACATATGTACAACTCTTTCTTTTGTTTGATTGTCTCTAAGCTTTGAACAAAGTTAATGGGATTGAGAAAAATAACATTTTTGAGTTTATTGTTGGGATTTTAAATCCCTAAATTGTTCCCCTAATCAGATTCAAATGAACAACCCTAAAATTTTCCAAAGCCTTTCACCATTACTGTCGAAGTCCCGATTCACCACGGTTCGACCATCCATGGCCGTTACCACCTCCACCATCGTGATCGGTGACGTTCCCTGATCAAAACCCCCTGTTTATTCATCGGAAATCACTGTCGATCGACATGGAGAACCCAAGAAGCTTTGTTAAAACCCTGTTTCGACCACCCTTCAATTTTAGCCAACGTGATAATTTGTGGGTCGCACCGCTGGTACCATTGTGATCATCATCCGCTCCAAACCAAAACCCATCCAATCAATCAACGTAAAGGCATGCCATTTATTGTAAATCGATCGTCAAAGGTTCGTCTCAGAACTAAAACTGTCGTAGCTATTTTCATATTTTTACGTCGATCTCAATGCCAGCTCGGCTCACTGCCGCCACCGTTGGCTTCCTCATCCTATTTCGGTAAAAACTTGACCGGATTTGTCGCATCACCATCGTCCAATC